ATTGCCTGAGCAAATTCCTTCTACCCATTCTCTCAGGTCAGAAATCTTGGTTGCTGGAAGCTCATTGTATATTGTTATTAAATAAAATAATTTTTTAAGGAAGTTCTGATTTTGACCACATATTGGCAACATATCTAACTAAATTTTTGTTTAAATTATCAACTTACTTTCAGTACCTTCTGCTTGATGTCAATTAATTTCATGGATTCACCCTGTTTATGGAAATGACTTATTTGGGTCATGATGGAGAGAGTTATGACCAAAACTTCCCCTTGTCTTATGTGTGCTTGTCACAGTGTACAGATTCAAATTTATGAGGTAGCTAAGGAGATTAGACTCTAAAAGGCCTCGGTGTTTTAAGGAATATGTCAGAAACTGTTGTTCAGATTTCAGGATAAAGGGGAGAAATATCAATTCAGGAAGTAGACCCACGCTTGAAGGATATGAATAGGCTACAAAAGCAAGTGTAGGGAAGAAATATTATATTTGATGAGGAATTATGACAAAGTATGAGACTGTCCACTTGAGGTGGTGATTTTCCTTTCCAAATCTTGATGAGCCTTAATTGTGATCATTATTGCACTTCACTTTTTAGAGGTAGTATTTCTCTGATTATTACAGATAATATCCAGTTCTGCCATATAATTTAGAGGGATTTGTCTAGGATTTAGCTTGCAAAATGCAATGGTAGAGAAAAAGAAAACGGCTGCAGTTGTAACTGCTTTAAAAGTAACTGCCTTAAAGACCTGTCAAGGAAAAGTGAAGAGAAATTTAGAAAAAAACTTTGTATATAAACAAGAGATACCTAAGACTGGAAGAATTTTTATATTCAAGGTGAATGTGTAGAAGGGGGGGAAATGTTTACTTTTTTCTTTCTGCTTGAAATCTATTTTAACCAGATCTAGTTATTGGTATCCTTTCATAGACTTTTTTTTTTTTAACCCGGTGCCTAATAAACTCTCAATCGTGGTTTTAACTTACTCTTCAGCTCGAGAATAACTGTTTCCCTTTTACCTTTGATATTGTGTCTGTCTCATTTACTCAGGTTTTCCTATAATACCACTGGAAATCCACAGGCTTAATTTCCATTTTCTGTCTATCAGGCTTGTTATCTAGCTCACATTTTCATGATGGCTTACTCTATTCTTGGAGAATTCCATATTTTTCATTCCCCTATTAAGATGAGCAGCTTGGGGATGGGAGGTACACTATTATGCATAGTTTCAGGCAAATTCCTAGAATTATGTGGTCAGTGAAAGATTGTGAGCCACAGACTACTCTGCTCTCATGTATTTTCTTGTCTCTTCAGCTTCCTATGGAACCCTGACACTCAAGGATGCAATGGGCCACTCTCTTCTTAAGATCTTCAGTGGAAGGGGATGAAAGAGGGTCTTGTCAAAACCTGGTTGTCTCAAAACACAGGAATTTCTGTCATTTTTATATATTTGGGGCAAGAACCAGATTCCTAAGGAATGCTGAAATGTTGAATTGGTCTACCTTCTTCCTGTGTGACTCATTTGTTTTGTTTTAGAAGTCAAAGCTGATACTTTACATTATGACCCTGTTTGATGATACAGTTAATAGAAATACCTGGATCTTTTCCTTTTTCCTCATAACATTTATTTCCATCTGTAATATTAATTATCATTTGCTTATTTGCCTATTGTCTGTCTGCCTCTATTAGAACATAAGCTCTCTTTGAGCAAGGGACTTAATTGCTTTGTTCACTGCTAGATTCTCAGGGCCTGGCATGCAGTATATATACTCAGTAGATATTTGTTAAGAGGAAGAGAGGGCATAACTATAAATTGGTGAAGGCAAAGTAGGTTACCAGGCTCTTTACTTCAAATACTCCATGGTCTCAATACATAGGCTGTCCCAAAAATGTATACACATTTTAGTTACCATTATTAATTCCAGTGGATTAAATCTGAAAAGAGAGAAACATCAGTTGAGCTGTTGGCTGTTAAAATATGTATACATTTTTTTGGAAACACCCTGTATATAAGTGTCTCTAAATGAAGATGAATGATTTAGGAAGGGAAGATGGATAGTTTATTTTGAATATATTGGGTTTAAGGTGTCCAAAATGCATTATGGAGATGTCAATTGGTTATTTATATAGAAAATATGAAGCTAAAGGAGTAGTGTTATGCAAATGGAGAAACTGGCGATTCAATAACATCTATATAGTATGCACTGTATAAAAAGCATTAAGCTGATTTTTTTTGTAGCATGAATAAATAGGGACCAAAGACTCAACCCTCATGCAAACTAATGTGGAACTGAGAAAAATATTTTTATATAATTATGACCTGTAACCTAAGAAAACTAAGTAAATGGACAAACATTGGACATTAAAGAGTGATTGAATAGAGACCTCTGGAGATAGGGATTTGTTTCCAGGAGCTATGATTTCATTTTCCAAGGAAGGAGGGTACAATAACTGGGGGTATCTGTTTAAAATGCAAAGAATCATAGAATATCAGGGAGAAAAGGGTTATCACCATCTTTCTGGAGGGGAGAGTGGTAGCTATATGGTAGTTTCCATTTAAGCTCCCAGATTCATACATGTGGGATTATTCTCCCACAGTGCTAGCTCCCAGATTCATACATGTGGGATTATTCTCCCACAGTGCTAAAGAAAAGTCACTTGTGGAAGCAGGATTTACCTCTCTCTCTCTCTCTCTCTCTCTCTCTCTCTCTCTCTCTCTTTAAATATATTTTATTGATTTTTTTACAGAGTGGAAGGGAGAGAAATAGAGAGTTTGAAACATCAATGAGAGAGTCATCAATCAGCTGCCTCTTGCACACCCCCTACTGGGGATATGCCCTCAACCAAGGTACATGCCCTTGACCGGAATCGAACCCGGGGCCCTTCAGTCCCCAAGCCGATGCTCTATCCATTGAGCCAAACCGGTCCCAGCTACATCTGTCTCTCATTGCGTCACTTTGAAGGAAAAAAACTTGGGTCATGGAGAACCAACCTATTTGTTGCTGTAAAGTAATAATACTATGACTTTGATCAAAAATCTAATGTTTGATTTTAGGGCAAAATAAATAAACATGGATATTAAAAAGCATTGGCTAATATTTACGTTCTAATAAAAGAAAAAAAAAGAAACTATACAGATGACTGAGAACTGGAAAAGGGAGACATCTTAGAAGATAACCAAGTTTTCCAGTGTTTAGAGAGCTCCCAGTAGAAGATGGATTTAATCTAGATTATAGAGGGCTGTAGAAAAAGCAATTATCCTGGAAGGCAAATTTTGGTGTCAATACTTGGAACCACAGCCCATTAAAATAAGAGAAGTAATATGTTGCAACGAAATAATACCAAACCAGCAATAGAACAATGCTTAGGATTTTCTCCCCTTGCTCATAGCCATGTTGTTTGGGGCAAGCAAACATCATCATCTTTGAGTCTCTATTTTCTCATCCTTAGTCTGTCTACTTAACAGGACTTTCCTGAAGATCAGTAATTGTAAATTTTTAAATGACAAATGAATCTTAGATACATTCTCCTGATTTGAAGATATAAAGCAAAGATTAGGTGGCCATCTCTCAAACCATCTAGGATGTCTGGCATTCTGATAACTGCAAACCCCGATGTCTGAGGACAACTTCATGGGGGACCAAAGTGAGAACCACCCCGAGTCTAGTCGGCCCACAGAACCATGAGATGCAATAATAAATTGTTCTAAAATGTCATGTAGTGCTGCATAGCAATATGCTTCAATGTATTTCTGTGTGAACTGGGAATAAGCAAGAAACTAAAATACCTGAGGATTCCCAAGGTTAATCACCCTATCTTTTGCTAAAAGTATAATCTTTGCTGTTATCACACAGTTAAAAGTAACTTTAAAAAAATTATGTGCTAGAGTGCTCATTTGCTTCAAGCCTCCAACTCAGGTCTCTGTGGGACAACTGCACTGTTTGACTCTAGCTCCCCCAAAGGACGTAATTCAACATTTCTTTCCAAAGTCATTTACATTACCAGGGAGTGCGGCAAATATATTGCTAAGGCAGAACATATGGGTTCCCTTGTAGTATTTTCTTTGTTTAAGAAAATAAAATTACATTAGGAAAAAAGAAATGATTTTCCCATCCTTTGGGAGGTCACATAAGCACCTGAGAATTGTTTGAGAATATGATCTTGTTTTTGAGAAAATTGTATATTTTAGGCATACTTTTCCTGATGATAGAACACTAATGTTATTTCACCATAGGACACAGTCATTTATCAGCAAGGAGGCAATATGTGATAATAATAGAGATATACTTTAATTTTTCAGAATTCTTTTATATAGGTTAATAAAATTACAGAGTTTTAAAGTGAGGAATAATGTTGGACAATAAGTGCAATCCCTTCGTTTTTCCAATAAGAACAATGGAGGTGAGAGGGTAAAGTGGTTTGTTCATAGACATTTAGCTAGTTGGTGACAGAACCCAGACCCTTCAATGTTTGTCCACTATCCATCATAGCACTTCTGTTTTGGGAGACATTTCCCTAGTAAACATAGCAACACTTCTTTGTCTAGTTTTACAACTAAGGAAGAATATCATTATGGTTGAATGATTCAATTAAGGTCAAAAAGACAATTTAAAACATAACCCTAAGCACTCTTAGAATCCCTTATCATCTATCCACTGAGCTAGTACCCATAATTTTTAAAAATATGTTTTTATTGATTTCAGAGAAAAAGGAAGAAGGATAGAGAGATAGAAAGATCAATGATGAGGGAATCATTGATTGGCTGCCTCTGGAACGCTCCCCACTGGGGATTGAACCAGCAACCCAAGCATATACCCTTGACCAGAATCAAACCCAGGGCTCTTCAGTCCACAGGCCAATGCTCCATCCACTGAGCAAAACCATTTAGGGCCCATAATTTATTTTAATAGTGTGGTTGTGTGGGTTAGTTAAACAATGTAAGTGACATATATCACCTCAAATAGAGTAGATGATTAAAGACTAGTTTCCTTCCTTTCTCTGTAGGTTATACAATCACATTTCATGGAACAGAATGGAAAGTTAATTGACTATGTTTTCCTGTCAAGAAGATGCATGTTAAGGCTATTGTAGGGTTAAAGGGTGAGGCTCTCTGGCTTTTTAAAGTCACGTGCAGTTATTGGTCAGTTACACTCAGGAGGCAATTAACACGTTCTCTGGACAAAAGTTCACTTTCAAAAGACTTCTTTAACTGTCATTCTGATTACTATTCTAGACACCTTGGTTGTTACGCAGAATTTTCTCGTGTGAGTGTGTGTATGTGTGTGTGTGTGTGTGTGTGTGTGTGTGTGTGGTGACTGCATTTTCTCTGCATGGAGTCTGGAAGATCAGGGAAATTTTGGGGGGCCGCAGATACTTCCTACAAGAGGAAACTGATCCCCAGGAGCCTAGTAGTTTGCTATATCTATTGTATATAGGGCATCCCTCAATATGTACACACATACTTTGAATAATTATAAAGATAGTGTTTATTAAAGTACATTTCATTTTCAAAATTTATAAGCTGTTAAAATGTGTATACATTTTTGGGATACCCTTTAGATGAAGCTTCTCCTTAAGTACCATTGGACAATTCATATGTAATAGATAACTGGGGCTTTATTCAGTCCATGATATGAGATGATGAGCAGAGCATGGACCTTGCAGTTTTACATATTTGCATGTACCTGCTAGCTCTAAGTTTCATTAGCCTTATGACCACTACAGTCACTTGTCTCTCTTAGTCTCAGGGTTCTCTTTGATGAAAAAACAAGAAAAAGGAAAAAAAGGGAGGTGGAGAGAGAAGGAGGGGAGGAAGAGAAGAAAAGAGGAAGGGAGGGAGGAAAGAAGGAAATTAATATCTTTTTCACCAAACTGTTGTGAGAATAAATAAAAATGAGATAATTTGGTAGATAATTAGAGTAGGCACTTAATACATATTTTTGTCCCCCCCCTTTTTTTTCCTTAAAACTGATCTTGGAGCTAAAAAGCCTTTATTAAATATGAATCTAGACATGAAGGGTGGAGATTATACAACTGGAAAGGGTATAGTCTCTGTCCTTAAGAACCATTATAACTTAGCACAAAAACATGTTTAACATAAATTGGATTGCAGAGGCCTGATCAGGAACTGTGCCTAAAAGCTAATAAAATTTCTTAAAAATATCAATGAGGAGCTTTCAACAAAAAACTTCTTGTTTCTATGTCATCTTGTTACAGTGACATTTCAGCTAATATACTAATATTTTTGGCTAGATGAATGCTTGGCTTTGTCCTCAGGCAGTGGATACTGTTTCACTAGAGAACTTGTCATATTTAGAGAAACTCCAAGATGGGGACTGTATTATTGCCATTGTATTGATGAGGGAATTAAAGTCCAGTGAGGTAAAGTGACAAGTCCAAGGTCATATAAGAAGGAAGGGAGCACCTGAGTCTGTTCTATCCACATCTGGAGACTTAATCCATCATTGCCATGTGCTGCAGCCTCTGCAACTCTTGAAGAAAGTAAGGAGAGCAGGTTGTCTGGCAGAGAACATGGCTTCCAGAAATGACACAATAGAAGCTTTGGCAGGTTCTAAAGGGAAAGACATTCGACAGCTTGGCACATCTTGCATAGAGACATGGGATAGCTATGGGCAGCAACTGGAACAATTTGGAAATGCCACTGCCCCAGGTTTAGAAGAACAAAGCACAGATGAGGGTGGGTGCTTGACTCTGAAGTAATTAACTTCCTTATTTTTTACAGGCTGGGCAGAAGAAAGAAATGACTGTGCCATGACTTTTCTTCTTCCTCTTCTTATTAACAGCTCTGCAGTCAGTTAATATTCTCACACACAGGCATGTGGAAACCAATTCTTCCCATCTGCTATACAAAGAGCCATCGTGATGTGAGGTAAGGACAATGTAAACGGACTTTATCTTTTACGTGTCGAGGGGAATGGCTCCGTTTCTGTGAAACCATCCACCGTTTCTGTGAAACCATCCATTGCCTTTAGAGTGATTTTCAGGATAATGCATAGAATGCATGATTTTTACTGCCTTTTAAATATTTGCAAGTTGAAAATGCTGTTTTTAATATATTGAGATAAAACTGAGCATAGGGAAGGCTGCTATGTGGGGGTCTGTGTGGTGAGTTTTAGAGGCAGATGGGATTTTTTTTAAAGTGAAGGCTGGCCTAGGCAAAATCATAATTGGGTAAAGTTTGTCTTTGGGGCATCTCTTTCTCTCCTTTCTGTGACTCTCTCTCCCCTACCTTCGAAAATCATATTCCTTCACGAAACTGCTTAGAGCAGCTTCCTACCCTGGGTTTCATCTGACATTAAACACTGCCCTCTGACTCCAATTCCCAGAACCAGAAGTTCAATTTTATAGGAACAAAAGTGCAAAAGAAAAAGTCTATTTTTTTAACCTCAAGAGGAGCAAGCATGCACCCAGCCTTGCCACTTGATGCAGTGCCCAGGGCCAATAGCATAAGACCACCTGGGAATTTGTTTAAAATGGAGAAGTTTGCATTCTACCTAAGATCAATTGAATCAGATTCTGCATGTTAACACGTTTCTCAGTTGATAAAAGTTGGGAAGCTCTGCTCTAGTGACTCAAGTTCCTTCCATAGGAAACAAAATTCGGAGTAGAATTTCCTAGGTATCATGTCTTCACCAGTTCCATGTGGTCTTACTCTGTGCTAGGGTCTAAGGTCAGTGTGCTCAGCTTGGGATATTCAGGGTTAAATTAAATTAAACAGGTCATTAGAATGATGGAAATACTAACATACCCACATTGCAATCAGCTGCCATGTTTGAGTACTTATCTTCAGGTACACTTGAAAATTTTTCTCATTTATTTTTCACCATAATTCTAAGAGGGAAGAGCAACACATGTCTCTATTTCATGTGGGGAAAAACTTAGCTTTCAGAAATTAAATATGCGGCCCGAGACCACAGAGCTAGTGCAGTAAAGATTAAAACCCAGGCAACCCAACCCCAGAACCTAAATGACTGTTCTGACCCTGCTGAAAGTCTTCAAGCCTCTAGAAGTCTGATCTGCTTTGTGAATCAGTAAACCACATCTAGTGTTAAGGTTCCCAAATGGATTTGGCCAAAGCCCCCTTTGAAAGGATGGAGGAATTCTCTGGAAGAGACCCCACAGAATATCTGTGAGCTGTCTCCCTTTGTCCCCCCTCTTCCTCTTGGCTTAGGGTCCCTATATCTAGCCTCTGTAAATGGCATTCATAGGACACCTTTGCCCTCCAGCCTATGGTTGGATTCAGCCAATGGGTGTTTGATGGTCAGAATCGGGATGGATGGAGAGGCCAGGTTACTTACTCATTCACTGGGCTCTCTGCCTGTTTGATTGCAATGCATCTCTCTATCAAGTGACAGCTTCAGGTCAGTTGTTCTTTCTCACAGCTTCAGGTTCAGAGGCAGGAATGGACCCCTCTCTTAGAGCTATTCACTGCCCCTTGTTGGCTTCCTTTCATTTCCCCCACATATCTGTAGGTAGTCCTTTATTCAACTGACCAACTTCACCATTTGTTTATGCCATTTGTTTCCTGCTTAGATCTTGACCAACATATCAACCTACATTAATAAAAAAGAAACATGCAAATCGACCATCACTTCACGATGCCCACCAGTCAATCAGGAGTGAGTATGAAAATTAACCCAACCAAGGTGTTGGCAGCCCCGCCCCCCAGCCACTCCAGGGCCTCTGGGCAGCATGCATGCAGGCACACAGTGGCCTGGAGGAGTGGGACAGAGGGGTTGGGCTCGGTACAGAGGGAGCTACAGGAGCAGCTCTCCAGCTAGAGGGAAGACTGAAGGCTCTGGCTGGAATGAAAATTCCGGCCCGAGTGAAGAGAGAAGATGGCAGCCAGAGTGAAGGCCTGGGTACTGGGTGCTGGAGGAAAACTGGTGCTGGCAGCCAGGGGAAGGAAGGACTATTGCAATGGACCTCTAGTAATAATATAATGAAGTATATTTCAATGATCTTTTAAAAAATTATTTACTTCTTATACTTCTTAACTTCTTCCTCATATCTGCCCTCATATCCTGAATCTTCAGATAAGATCAATGTTTGAGAAAAAGTACCTCTTTTCTCCACTGGCTTTTTTCCAGCATTTCCAAGGATATTGTGAGTATACCAGGTGGAGGATGCTGGGTAACTAATATAGACAGATGGTAGATGCTCACACCTGAGGGAAATGATACACCAAAAGCACAGCCCTGTGACACTAATTTCTTATCAGAAACACCGAGGAGCATGATGCGGCCACTATCTCAGAGGAAAACTGATGAGATCCATCGCATTAGGGTCTCCTAGGGGGTGAGGATGGGGTGGAGGCATGGATCCTGAGGAAAGGGGAGTCTATGAAGAAGACTGCTGCAGAGTAAGAAAAGGAAAGAAATTATTTTCTTAGAATGTGCCTCAGGCCTCAAGCAGGAGTGACAAAGTGGATCCATGGGGTCTAAGGTATATTTATGTTTGTGAGAGATGTCAACCTTAGAGCATCTCTGAGTCTGAGCGGTGGCTGTCAGAACTGAATACCACTTCTGGGGACAAGAGACATCTGGACCAGGTCAGATACACTGAGGCACTGGGGTATGAAAAGAATAAAGAGAGCTGACAAAACAATGAGAGGCATTTTTAAGAAATGGAGGGTGAGTTAATGAGAGAAGAAGGGCTGTGAGAATAGCTTTCTCCCAAATACCATAAACATGAAGAGAAGGCCATTGAGGGCATGCTGCTGAAATACTGGCTGAGCTCAAGGATGCCCTGCATCCCCTGGAAAATGACAAGCGGACTCTGCCTTGTTCAGAGATGACTGCCAGGACAGCAGCTTTGATCTGGACCCAAAGAAAATGAGAAAAATCGGAGCTGGCATTTCTTAAATAGATACTGCATCAAACACATAGTCTCATTTTAATCTCCTTACAGCATCTATTCCACCCCTCTCCCCCTTTTTATTTCATAAACAAGAAAACTGAGGATCAAAATTTACTATCATAGGGTCACACCTCCAGTATCAGCGCCCAGCTCACACTCAGTGTGCTCCAAATCTGAGCCTCCTCTTCTAGGTCCAGAGAGTTCACTTTCCCACCTCCTCAGAGATGAAGGGATCAGTGGAAAGCAGTCATCGTAATTTTGGAGTGGCAATAATTCAGGCAATTAAGAAAAGCTGACTCATGTACCCAGTGCCTGAAGGAAGAGGTCTGTGAAGTAGAAAAAGGAAAAACTGAGAAACTCCCTGAAAGGGACAGTTTTAAGCTTGCCATGTTCAGCCAATGGAGTTAATAAAGTGAAACTCCATATTTTTAACTCCCATTAACTCCATATTTTTAATTCCGTGTCTTACACAGCTATACCCCGCAGCTCCCTTCCACTCCAGCAAATCTCGGTTGAGCATCTGAATCCATTTGAAGTGCTGGACCACACAATGATCACAATGAGAGAGCTGATCTCAGATTGACGGTGCATGAGAATAACTGCTAGACACAGAGCTTATCAAGAGAACTAGAAAGCTCTGATGTCCTTCCTCACCTAACAAACTGAAGAGGGCAAGCCGGTGCTCTGGGCCTCCTAACCTGTTTGCTTGTTTCTAAAACCACCAACTTTCTTCTTTCTGAGGTTTCAACTTAGAGTGGGTAGCAGGATATAATAATATTTTCTTCTCTACCCTCTCTTTTCTGTCCCCCATGACTTTCATTTTTCTTGCTGAAGGACACCTATTTCCTTTTCCTTTTAATATATCACCTTTCTCATATTGTGAGTTCTCCCTAAAAAGGCAGAAGATGCTCAATCAGCATGGCTCAGAGATTGAGCATCCACCTATGAACCAGGAGGTTAAGGTTCGATTCCCATTCAGGGCACATGCCCTGGTTGTGGGGGTCATACAGGAGGCAACCAATCAATGATTCTCTCTCATCATTGATGTTTCTATCTCTCTCCCTTGCCCTTCCTCTCTGAAATCACTAAGTTTTTGTTTAAATTCAGGATAGGAAGAATGTACAGTGGTTGACAAAAGTAGGTTTACAATTGTGAGTACATGAGACAGTTTATGCTTGTATTAGTATTTATTAATTATTATATTATTAGTTGTATTACAACTGTCAACCTTTTTTCCCACCCACCCCTACATGAACAAACAAATACACTATTTATTTTTTCCATGGGTGCATAGGGAAATGAATATCAAACAAACTTACAAAGTTTGTAATGACAATCAGGACTCAATAAAAATTATTTCAGACTGACATATATATTTTAATGTATTTTATTTGACCAATTAATAATTGCACTACATTTTATGTTTTTCAGGCTCTGCTAGACAGCTTTCGACATTGCATACTGGAATACGACATTTCACAGGGTGCAGTTATCTCCGAACAAGAGGGCTATCTCTGCTGTGACAACTGGCAGGAAGAATTCTGGCTGTCTTGCTTTCCAACCCCATGATCGAGCCAAGAGTCTAAATTCTTGAGAGTCAAAGGTTTAAACCAAACTACAGATGAGTCAGCAATTACCCTGTCGGCAATTCTCCCAGAGAGAAAACACTGAACAAATGGGAATGGCTTGTTCCTCCAGGGTCTTAAATATTTAGGGGGCTAATCTTTTCACTGGGTGTCTCTAAATTATTTAAACTCAATTGGCCTGCACTGTGGCCTGTTCTCTGCCCTGGATTTGAAAGCCTGACTATTTACTTCTCACAAGCCTGTAGGTTTACAGCTTAATCAAAATGACAATTACCTGAGGCATTGTGTCTATTATAAAGCACATCCATTACAGGATCACCAAGGCAGGGAAGTGGGAGGGGGGTGAGAAAGAAGTTCAGGCTGCTGGTATAGCTGGAAAACAGATTCTCCTCTGCCTCTATACACCCCCGCCCCCTCTCCCCCAAGGTGAGGCATGAACTTGCCCTCGAAGCCATTCACTCTTTTAGAGGCCAATTCCGAGGTCACTATATGAACATGCTGGTTTCACAATCACACGGTAGTGTACCCGAGGACTAGGGACTCCAATGTCCTTTGTCCTTATGTCTCCAGATCATTTCTGTCCCCATATGAGGGACTTCTTTTATTTTGAAAAGAGGAAAAAATAGAGGGGTTGAGACATTCGGACTTGACTTTGAACAATTTAGGGGCTGAAGTTTGATAAAGGGATTCTGTTATTTAATGTAGAAGCTCCAAGAGGGGAATTGAAGCCAGTGGGTGAAATTTGCACTGAGGTTGCCTTCACTTTTGTCTAATCAGTCTGCTAGGTCACACTTGCATAGCTAGGTATACTCAAAGAGCTGTGAGCAGTAAATAAAATGTTTAGTGGCATTAACTTTTCACTACAGAACTGGTTATTGGGCAAAGTGGGGGTCTTCTGCTACCGCTGGCATAAGCATTTCTGGAGGCCCCCGGGAAAGGATGAGATATGGTAGAGAGCTTGACTTCTGTGGAATGACACCTCTGGGTTCCCAAAGCCCCATTTCCTTTAGTCCAGTCATGGAAGTACAGCCAGTCTCTAGAGATTCCCTTCTATGTTGGAGCTGGGTCCAGTTCAGCATCAAGCTAGTTAGAGTCCACTGTCCCACTATGTGTGGGGTCTACATGGCTGTGGTCCACACAGGAGAGTGTCAGGAAGCTGAGCATGGGCCAGAGCCAGATGTGCCAAGAGGAACCAAGAGCACAAGAGCACCAAGAGAGTGAATTTCTTTGTTTAGTATCCCAAACCTTGTCAGGCTTGCAGTGGCCACGCCCATTCTGGCCAATGACCTTTGTTCCCAGGTGTGACTGACAGAGAAGCACCTTCCCTAGTCACTCCCAGCTTTACTGGGCACATGTTTATCTTCCCTTTGTCCAATCTCCTTCCCTGGGTGTTTTGCAGGGAGAATAGGCCTATCATGTCTGGCCTTCCATTTATTCCTTTCCTATAATCAGTAATTAGCTGATTAGAGTTCTCATGCTGGCATATATACTCATCTTAGATGGATCACAGCACCCTGGTTTAGGTGCACCTGTTCCACTCCATGGTATTTCTTCTTGCTGCACTGATGCAGCCAAGGGAAATTGATGTACTTTTCCCCTTTTCATGAGGATGTTAGTTACTTGATCTCTAGTCAGAGTAGTTAGTGAAGCCAATTCTCTCGCCTTAGGTGGTCATGGCCGCTTTAGTACTGTAACAATTACGTTCTCTATTATTCCAAAACGGTGTGCTGCCCCTTCCCTATGGTGATTTGAACACAGTATTTGCACATAAACTTTTTGCTGGACCAATTAGGTGAAGTGAAGTGAGGAGAAAACTGGCAGAAGGGAAGTTTTTTCTTGAGTCCTTAAAACAGGGAGCAATTTGTCCCTTAGATGAGATCATTGTCTGGAAGGCCCCCATGGCTAAGCTCATTAAAAAATAAAGCCATGAGCGCATCATAAACCAGGTAAGAGGTCTCAGTGTGGTCCTTGAAACAGTGCAAAGTAGAGAGAATCACAAAAGAAGGTTGGGGACCAAGATGAGAAATTACATCCACCTTGCTCTGTGCATGTATTTCTCCAAATTACAGTAAAAAAAAAATGCTTAAAGGAAGAATATAGATAGAAATGTCATTTGTTTTCTTTCAGGAGTATACTTATTTATTAACCTTGAAAATAAGACTTGCACTCTCTGTAAAGACTGGTAGAAATGGGATAGAATGATAAAATATAAAGGAATCATGATTATATTTTATTAAGGAAAATGGACCGAATTATTCTCTGTCATGAGAAAAGAAACAAAAGGAACAAGAAAGTGAGCACAGAATAGATAGTTATAGGATGTAGTTTAGGGGACAATGTTGGGACATGTGGATACATGCAATGGAGTGGGCTTTTTGAATCTGAAAACATTAAAGCCAAATAAAGTCATGTGTTTCCTGCGTGATGACTAGCTTCTGCTGTCATATTAGGGGGAGGGGTTAGGCATTGGTACTGACTGTATGAGATTCTTAAATCTATGGCTTTTTAAAAATAATATACAGGAGAGTGATACAAGTTATTGGGTATGTTTGTTCTAAGCCATCTGGAGGTTACCTGAAAACTTGGCACACATAACTCATTTCTGTTTGGCTTAACTAGAAACTCACTCAGGGCAGAAAAGCAGTGGGCATCATCTCAAAATATTATAAGGCAAATGGACAGCCAGCAGCCACCTGGGACAATATATTATGGTAGAGACAATAGGCCGCCTTAAACCTGGGAGCCAGGTATGGGGAAAGGGTTTCTTTGGGAAATTAGAGCATTTAAGTGTTCTCATGTATACTTGAGAATTCATATAGACACATGTATACCCAGGGCTGGATGCATGTTTAGAAAATATCTGAGAAAACCCTAAGCTTTGGTGTTTAGCTGATCTCCAGGCTCACTGCAAGCAGAAAATTAAGGCTAAGTAAGGCAGAGTTGTATTATAAACGGCCCATCTGAGTGGGATTGAAAGAATGCCTCAGGACAAGGTCTATCTGCAATGTCTGGGAGAGGTGCTTTTAAGCTCCTGGTATTCAAGGAAACCTTTCAAAACAGCAGCTTGACACAAGCTAAAACAAACCAACAGCGCTTTTTGTGAGCATATAAAGAATATAGTCTTTGCAAAAGTAGATTAGAAATGTCACTAACCAAATGGATGACTGTGCCCTAGCTGGTGGGGTTCAGTTGGTTCACCATTGTCCCAAGCACTCAGAGGTCCTCAATTTTAATCCCTGTCAGGGCATCTGTCAGGATTTGAGGCTCCATCCCCAGTAGGGGGCATATAGAAGACAGCTAATTGATGTTTCTCTTTCTCCCTTCTCCCCTGCTCCTTCTCTAAAATCAATAAGACATGTTTTAAAAAGTGGATGACTGGGAACCTAAAAAACCCAACAGAAAACATAATTAATGGTGAAAGATTACAAGTTTTTCACCTAGAGATTAGGTATTAATCAAAGATGAGCACTTTAACCACTGCTATTCAGCAGTGTACTGGAAACTCTAACCAAAACAACAACAACAACAACAACAACAACAACCAACAACCACCCAACTTTTGAGGTGCAGGTTTAGATTTGATAGAGACCTCTTGGGTGCTACATCTGTTACATTTCTTGGCTCAAGTGTTTTTTACACAGGTGGATTTACTGTGAGTAATTAAGGAAGTTATGCCATTGTGATTTGTGCATTTTTATATCTAAATTTTTAATTAAAAATTAAAACGTATACCACTGAATAAAAAAAATTAAAGTGACCATTGTGCCTGCAATTTAGTTTTAATATAATTGTGTCCCTATTTTTTAATTAAAGTTAAATTTATTTTTAAATAGAACATAAGAAAAAAATACATAAAACCTTACAGTGAGCTTCAAGTAAATGAACAAGAAATGCTTTTTACAGCAGCTTTCAATGGATAACCCTGAGACATGGCGTTTCTCATTTTGGCAATAAGCATTTCACTGGAGCTGATGATATACAGTAGAGGATACTTGGATCTAATTTTACAAGATTAGCTTGGCTGTTTCTTTATTGTTTCTTCCTCTATAATTTTGTGAACATTGTCGTGGGGAAATGACTTTTCCCCAAAAAAGATTGCCTTATAAATCATTACCACTCATTTGTCTATGTTGATTTTTTCCCTTTGATGGGAGTCTGGATATGTGGAGAAGAAATCTTTCTACAGTAATTATACTTTGACTATTGCTAACTTTATTAAACTTTGTGCTTTTGGCATGCCTTTGACATTTTGGAAAGCATTTATAATTTCTGGCAATAATATGATAAATCCAGGACCATTCTGACATTTTCTTGGTCAAATCATAGGATAAGGTGGTTAACATTGTTCCCCTTGGTTTTCCTAATTTTACATATTATGTTGCTTAACAATACTTTTTAAATCTTGTTTTGTTAATCCTCACCAGATATTTTTTCCATTGATTTTTAGAGGAAAGAGAAAAGAGAAAGAGAGAGGAGGAGAAGGAGGAGGAGGAGGAGGAGGAGGAGGAGAGAGAAAGAGAGAGAGAGATTGGTTGCCTCCTAGCTTCCCCATGCACCCCAATGGGGCCAGGTATCAAACCCAGGCACCTGCCCTTGATCAGGATTTGAACCTGTGGACCTTTGGCCAGGAATTAACCCTCTTTTTTTTAAGGATAAGGCTTCATCAACCACTAAGCTTTCTTTTACCCCAATACTTTACAAAAAGATGTTCAAAACCAGTGTGGAGGAAAACAGAAGACCCCTGTTACTGTGAAGTTGAGGCCATGTACCAGTTGTAGAAAGTGTATTAACATTCTAGCAAGATTCTGTAGCTAGATACAGGTTAGTGAGCATAGTTATTTGCAACAGCACTGTGAATTCTGGTTTTAAAATCTCAATGTTACTAAACAACTACTATGCCCCTTTCTTTTTTGTTCATTAATACTGGAACACATGTTAATATAGAAGGATATTAGAAATTAATGACCCTCATAGTGCAAGTGAATAGATTTGAACTAATTCTATTTGCTATCAAATCTGTTCTTCTTCAGTGTGACTGATGTATTTTAATTATTGTATTAGCTGTCCCCTAGTGTTATAGACCATGGCATCTTTGATTTTCTTCTTTCTCTCTCCTTATTATAATATAGCAGTTGGAGCCAAATAGTTCTGGGTTCAAAAATCTAGATTTGTCACTTACTATCTGGGACCTCGACATGTTATTTATCCTCTTGCTTTACTTTAGTTTCTTTATCTGCTAAATGTGGGATAATAATAGTCTTCATTTTGTGGAGTTGTTGATAGAATCAAATGGTAAATGAAGGCATCTGACAATTAGTAAATGCATAGTAAATATAACTAATTGTTGCTTCTATTGCTAAGTACTGCTGCTTCTAGCTTTAAACTTTCTGGTATTGTTGCACATTGCTCTCTGTTCATACCAGTACTGTCTTGATTTAGGTCCTGATTTAGGTCCTGCTGCCCTGGACTCTTAAAAATCCAATTCAATCCACTCATTTTACCCACTTTTATTCCTTAATCTTAAACTGTTTCCTTCAGAAATCTTTAACACCTTCCAGTTATCCAGAAAATCAGGTTGAATTGTCCTAGGGTCATTTTTTAGGCTCTAAAGATTTTTGAATGGATGTCCCCTTTCAATTCTCTTTGGTCTTTGCTCTTAATCAGTTGTATCTTAGATCAGCCACTAGACTTGGCAGTGAGGTTAATACTCTTAAGGTTTATTATTATTATTTAATTTATTTCATAGAAGTGCTGGCTTTGAGACCTCCCCTCCTCCCCATTAATTAGCAGCGTGGCTTTGGGAAATCAACAGACTTCCCTGTGCCTGATTTTATTTACCTGCACATTGACAGGCTCTCAAAATTTAGTGTGCATAAGGATCCCTTAGAGAAAGTATGAAACAGGTAGACTCTAGCCCTTATCCCAGATTCTGATATTTTTTTTAAAAGTGAAATATAACATACCATAAGTACACAGAGTACATAAATATTAGGTGTGCATCGTTGCATCTTGATTTTTTATGTATGCTTATATACTGTTGTGTGAACACCATCCAGTCAAAATAGAAAACATTTCCAGTACCCCAGAGGTTTTCCATGCCTTCAGTCTATTTCCCCCCAGAGACAACTACTACGTATTACTTCTATCATGATTCTTTTTTAACTATCTGCTCAGGTGGTTCTTGGTGTTCCTTTTTGATACAGTTGATCTGGTTCTCAGTTTTGAATAAGCTCATATTGTTGTCCTAAATTTAGGTATTTCTTAGAAACACATTACCTGTCCTCCCTGTCTCCAGCCCCATAAGAAATACCAAAGGAATTTCCTCTCCTTTGATTCTTCACCTCTACAGACCTTCATAACCTTTCATATTCTTCAGCATTATAGTGTCCTCTTTTGAATCTAGGCTAGAAATATAGAATACCAAAGTTAGAGATCAGGTATTCCAACCTCCATCACTTGCAGCAATTCTTTCTATAGAATCCTTGGAAAATGGTCTTTTACCTCTGTTTGAAAACTTCCAGTACCTGAGAAGTGATCACATCTATTTTTGGATATTTTTCTTTGTTAGAAAGTGTTTTATATATTGAGATTGATAAAATATTCTTTGGTTAATTTACTCATAGTTATGCTCTTTAGAATGATAAAGAATATCTGGCCCTGGCAGGTTTGGCTCAGTGGATAGAGCATTGGCCTGCAGACTGAAGGGTCTCAGGTTCAATTCCGGTCAAGGGCATATACCTTGGTTGCAGGCATATCCCCAGTAGGGGGTGTGCAGGAGGCAGTTGATCAATGTTTCTCATCGATGTTTCTAGCTCTCTATCCCTTGCCCTTCCTGTCTGTAAAAAATCAATAAAATATATTTTTTAAAAGAGTATATCTGGCCCCCTTTCCTTTCAATTATCTATGACTCTTGCCACATACACCCAAAGATTTTCCCCCCACTACTAGTTGGAAATGTGTAGACTTTAGCCCTTATCCCAAAGATTCTGATAATTTTTAATTTTTAAAAGTGAAATACAGTATAGCATATAATAAGTGCACAAACTCCCAGCACTTTACTAGAACCTGTCATGCCTTTCAAGAACCCAAGTCTGAAGGGCACTATAGAATTATGGGGAGAAATTACACTTTATGGTACAACAAAATATGGGAACAATAATTTATAGGTGCTCCCTTATGGAGCACAGAGAACAGCAAAAATCTCTTTCGTCTCCTCAGGACTAGCTTCGTGACTTACAGCCTGTGCACTTTCCTGGGCTCATGCCCCATTGATTGCCATGCTTGGTTTGGTGTTCTGCTGTTGTCATTTTAAAATTATTAATATAGTTTGAACCAAGGGCCCTGTGTTTCTTTTGGCACCAGGTCTCACAAATGAAATAGCTAGTTCTGTCTTTCTGGTTGCCTTACATTTGCTAATGCTTACATTTTTTGATTTTTTGTTTTTACTCACACTTCCTATAACTGCCATTAAAATGTACTATATTTTATAGCTCTTTTACTTATTTGATAAAGCATTTCCTTAGAGCAATGAAGATAGGTTCAATATTGCAGGCCTGCTCGTGTTGCAGATGAATGACCTAGGGCTTAAAGAAATTCAGTGAACTGCCAAGTTTTTATAGCTTATTAGCAACAAAGCAAGGCCAGAACTAGGTCTCCTGACTTCAGCATTCTTTGGAAAAAGACCCCCTGCTCTTCCCCTGAAACAGTGCTATTTTCCAGATTCCCAGGGTTTCAAGTTAAATTCTTTAATTGTATCAACTTTCCAGCTTCCCATGGTTCTCCTTTTTGTTCACTTCCAACCACAGTGCTTTGACCTGACACCATGTATTGCTGACTCATGCTTAGCCTAAAATTCCTCCTATTTGCTCCTCAGGTCATTTATCCATAATTGCCCAGTCCTTTCATATCTAATAAGCTCATTTTTTTACCCTAAGTGATTTACCCTGAGTTTGCATTTTTTTTTTTAAAGTAATCTCGGGTTAATTTTGAGAGAATTTCAATGCAATCTTATTTTTTTTCCTCCATGGATTAAGATTCTGAGCTATAGCAAATCTTCAGATCATTAAGGATGCTCTAGTAATTAGAAAGAAATCTGCATTTTTTTTAAATGCTCATCTAATTTGTACAGGAAAGTTAAACTATTTTAAGGTAGTGAGACATACCTTATTTGATCAAAAAGAAACCCAAGGTAATTTTAAGAAAATGTAACCTCCTTTGCAACTATATTAGTTAGGTGATGAGAAATGGAGGGTATAATGTAACAAGGTTATAATGACCATCTTAATGTAGCCAAGTTAATAGTAGCATGAAGGCTCAACATTGGCGTTATCTCTGCCTACTCCACAGACCGACCTCAGTCTTGGGGGTTGTCTGGCCCCAGGAAAACTGTGCAGTTGAAGCCTTCATCTTCTGGTGATGACTCTGACTCAGGGTCTCTCTCCTGGATAGCACACATTGACATGTACATTTCACATGCAGTGCTCACACCTGAGTTAGCATAACATCCTTATTTTCTAATTCCTGGAGGATAAAATAAAAAGACTTGGTTGAGATAATCTAATTGTCCTTATGTCTGCAATGTTGCCAGTTGAGATGTTCCCACTTTAGGTAAGTACCACCAACCTGGTAATAAATTTAGCTGGTAATTTGTATGCCAGTTAATGACACAACCATCTTCCCCACTGAAGTGTTGAAGAAACTTGGCATTCTCCTTGTCTTCACCCTTTTCTTTACTTGCACATCCAATCAAACAACTAAGCCCTGTGCTTCTATCTCCAAGTACATTCTAAAGGATTTCTGCACTCCATTCACAGCTACGCCTGCATAATACATAATATGCCCACATGCTACGCACTACCCCTACACACTAAAACTCAAGACAGCACTGCTTCTCACCTGGTCTCTGCAATAATCTCTTAAACTGAAATCCTCTGGCCTGTTTAGAAGCCTCTCTCTATGTGGCAGTTAGGATTATACTTTCAATAATGCAAATCAGATTATGTCATTCCCTTTATTGTAGCTCTACCCTAGTTCTGTGTTGTTGTTTTAAGTAGAACATGATACCATCTATATACTCTCCCCCTTGTTTGTATTGTTTTCTTTCTTCTCCTTCCAACCCCAAACTAGAAAGAATCTTCTGGGCTTCCTATCCTATCATCATTTATTTCTCCATGCTTATAAGAAGAGTGTTGGCACCCAGTAGGTACTCAAAAAGTATTCACTGAATAAATAAGTGAACCTGCAATCCAGGGCTGAAATACAGCCCATTTTTCTTTATTTTAGAAAATTTTTCCCAAATTCCAGTGCTAATTCCAAGCCTTATCCAATGACTGGCTCCCCTAGGATTGGCTCCTGGGGTTTGCACCTCCTTTGCTTATCCCTTTGGCTTGGCTGTAGCCAAAGACCTCCCTCTGATTGGGGTCTGGTTCCCTTCTTTCTTCCTTAATGACTTTTCAATATAGCTTCAGCTCTGCAACTCTAGGAACAATTGTTCCTCCTATTTGAATTTAGTTTTTGACTAATCATGCCTTTCTATCTTTTCTTTATATATGTGATGTTGACTAGGCTGCCATTCCTAGTTCCCAGTGCTCTGGCTCCCGCCATGAGCCAATTAATAGTTGCAAATTGCCATATACTCTTTAACTCCCGCAGGGTTCAATGGACCCCCTGTACTTGAAAGTGTTTGGAGTGACTAAGCCAAATGAGTGCCTCCTTCTGATCATATAACACATAGAGGATACATTTCCTCTGCTGAGATTTGCAATGCTTCATTGCTTACAGATAACACTTGTTTCATAATAGTAGTCTGTATATTTTTGCATTCAGTGTCCATCTATGAGTCATGATGAGAATACCATTGCTTAGCACTCATAGAAAAATGAGCTGCATGTGATATATTCCAAACTGTTCTCTGACAACTAAAACTTAGTTGTTCACTTAGAAGTCAAGAAAGATAGCAATAAGCAGCTGGCAAAAACAATCCTAATGGCAGAGATGGGATGCCGAGCATAAATTTGGCTAGCATTTTCAGGATTTTTTAATGCTTGCAACTGTCACTTCCTTAAGCATTTCATGAAGATTAATAATGTAAGAAAAAGGCCATCTTTCTCAAGTAACAGCACAGTTACTGTTAGGACTTTTTCTGACAAAATAGGGAAAGAGGAGAAATTTATCTCTTTTATGTTAATCTCTACACTATTTTTCTTTTTCTTTAAATATATTTATTCTGTTATTTGTTAACCATATATTATTAAGCTTGGAAAAATTACATTTCTGTTACAGTAATATCATGATAATAATCTACACTAATAAAAAAGAAACATGCAAATTAACCATCACTCTTGGCCCACCAGCCAATCAGAGTGAGTATGCAAATTAAGCAAAAAAAAGATGGTGGTTAATTTGCATATGAAGGCACTGAGCTAAGACTGAAGACAGTGTAGAAGAAAGAGGAAGGGAAAGAGGAAAGTGAAAAGTGGGGCCGCAGTAGCAGGAGGGAAAGCGCAGGGTGGTGGTGACAGCAGGAGGGAAGCCAGCTTTGGCGGTGGTGGGGTGCAGGCTTTGCTCCCTTCTCTGCTTCACTCAGGCCACAGGAAGCCCTATTTTTGAAGGAATCTTCCTGCTCCGGGCTTCAAGTAATATATAATAATAATATATTCACATATGCATATATGTAGACACCTATACATGTATGTTTGGGCACATATATGTAATATTTGATAGGGTTGTTTTGATAATAACAAATGTGAATAAATGACCTGAACTAGTGAATGTACCATAGCTGGCACTCAAAAATCTTAACCTGAGGGGTCCTAGTCTGTGAGAGAGGGCAGGCTGCATTGAGGGACCTCCCTCCTCTCCCCTGCCCCCTGCCAGTGCACACATTTTGTGCACTGGGCCCCTAGTGTCTATTATAATGGCTATTACTTTTAAAAATGGGAAATAAAAATGTTGGTTAGGTTGTAGAGAAATTGAAACACTTGTGCATTGCTTATGGGAATGTAAACTGGTGGGGCCACTATGGAAAACAGTTGGCAGTTTCTCCAAAGGTTAAACATAGAATTATCATATGACACTCCTTTATCAGTAACTGACAGGTCTGGCAGGCAGAAAATCAGTAAGAATATAGTTTAACTCAGCAGTATCATCAATTAACTGGATCTAATTGACATCTACTTAATGTCTCATCCGACAAAAGCAAAGTGAACATTCTTTCCAAGCTCAAACACCTGAGCCATAAAACACACCTTAACAAATTTTAAAAATAATAGCCATCATATTAGGTGCAAATTGGCATCTCATTGTCATTTTGATTTGATTTTCTTAATGGTTAGTGATGTTTTACATCTAGGATTTCCTTTTGAGGTGATAGAAATGTTCTAAAATTGTGGTGATAGTTATAAATATCTGTAAATACATTAAAACCATTGAATTTCTCTGGCCAGATGGCTCAGTTGGTTGGAATTTCATCCCCTGCACCAAAATGTTGCGGGTTCCATTCCTGATCAGAACACAATACCTTGGTTGCAGGTTTGATCCCCAGTAGGGGCATGTATGAAAGACAACTGATTGATGTTTTCCTCTCACATTGGTGTTTCTTCCTCTTCCTTCCTTCCTCTCTCTCTGAAAATCAATAATCATATGTTCTTGGATGAAGACTTAAAAACAAACAAACCCAAAACTAAAAACAATGAACCGTCTATTTTAAGTGGTATGAGAATTATATCTCAATGAAACTGTTAAACAATGGAAAAAAGAGTCAAGGAACAAAAAGAAAGCTTAGTATTTCTCTGTGCATGACATAAACATGCAATGATATGGATGTACTGCTATATCTAACTCTGAAGAGAAAAGCTGCTGCCATGCACGACTGAAACATTCCAGAGGGTGGGAAGGGGACTACATATTGGCCAACTCTTGAGAAGCCTGGGAGTGATTCTTTTGCTGGGAAAAAATATTCATAGATTTCTGGAGAACAAATGAAAGAGAGATAAAAAATGCTAGCTAAAAACAAACAAACAAATACACACACACACACACAAAACAAAAACAAAAACAAACAAAAAACAAGCTTCTTTCTTAACGAAGCAGGGGAAATTTTGATGAGCTGAAACCATAAACTCTTAGAAGAAAACATAGGGGTATATCTTTGTCATCTTGAATTTGGCAATGGATTCTTAGATAGCAGCAACAAACACAGACACACAAAATAAATAAACTGAACTTCATCACATTTAAAAAGGTTTGTGCTTTAAAGGACATTACCAAGAACTTGAAAAGAAAACATACAAAATGGGAGAAAATATTTTCAAATCACATAGCTGATAAGGAGCTAAGATCTAGAATATATTAAAGAACATTTTACAACTCAAGGACAAAACGACAACCCAGTCAAGGCTTCATCTTCCTGTGAGTTCCAGATAATCAGACCTTCTTCTATGCAAAAGGGAGCAGAGTTTGGAGAAGTCAGGTCACACAGCAGATGAGAGTCTGCTGTTCCCAAGCCTCAGTCTCCTCAGCCTCTTACTCAGGGAGGGGCTGGGAAAAGCATGGAAATGCTGGCTGTAATGGAGGTACAGGGTTTCCTAGCCAGGGTGTGAAATTCAGGAAGGGAGTGTTTGCTAAACTCTTAGGAAAGTTACTTTCCTTCATTGGGTCTTAGGAGTGAAGAGAAATAGGTTCAGGACTTCTACAACACTTTCCTGCTAAACACTACTGGCTCTCAGAGATTTTGCCCCTATTACCCAGACAGATTTTTTGGAGGTTATATGGACAGCTGGTAACAGAGGACAGAGATTTTGAGGTTTTGAGTGGTTCCAGGGTGGTTGGGATAACATCATGTTCCCCTCCTCTCCCTTGTGGAAGAGGAGACCTTCCTGTAGGAAACCACAAACCCCACTGATTACTGTACCCCAAGTGGAGGCAGGGTTTGCTAGGGATGCTGTGGCACCTGGAGCCTCCCAGAGCCTGGGCAACCCAGGTGTCTCTGCTTAGAACCCATTGGTCTGTAGAGCTCAGATCTGTGAAGAGATGAGGTGGGCTGTGTCCTATTCCCTTCCCCAGTCTCAGAACCCAGGGATGCAGCCTTGATTGACCAAGCCCAGCGAGGGAGTGTGGTGGGGAAAGGATAACATAAGAGCATCTAAATGTTAGCTATTATTGCTATTATATTATTACTACTAGAGGCCTGATGCATGAAATTCATGCAAGAGTAGGCCTTCCTTCCTCTGGCTGCTGGCATCAACTTCCCTCTGGTACCCTGGACCTGGGCTTCCCTCACAGCCCCAGCTTGGTCTGGAAGGTTTGTCCAGAAGGACGTCTAGTCTAATTAGTATATTGTGCTTTTATTATTATAGATAATAAAATTTATTTATTTATGAATAAATAAATCATACCTTGAAATAGAAAATAAAAGCTTAATACTTTTCTGTGCACGATGGAACATAAGCACAGTGACATGGATGCTTATCACTTGCTCTGAAAAGAAAGCCTGCTGTTGTGAACAACTGAAGTGTCCAAAGGAAGGAAGATATGTGACAAGAGTCAACCTGGATGGTCTACATTCCTGCTAATAAAGGCTGGTCCACAGGGCACAGCAGCAGCAGCGCCTGGGAGAGTGTGAGAAATGCAGAATCTGGGGTCCCAACTCCAGATCCACTGAGTCAGGATTTGTCTTTTAACAAGACCCCCCTCCCTGGCAAGTTCAAGAGTACACCGGAAAATGCACAGATAAATTAGCATATGCCACAGGAAGTCTATGAGGATGGAATGGAGGACCATCCTAGGATCCCTAAGAAGGAATAAAGATTACATGACCCTGACGAAGGTTTCAGTCCCATGGGTGGGAATTTTCTTGGGGATTCACATGGCCAGAAATCAGTGATTTGGTAGGAGGATTTTGCCAGGATCCCATTCTAACAACATAACCTTGCTTCATGTTATTTGAACATATTTGATTAACTCTGTGTTTAGTGTTATTCACTTTCACTTCATTTAGTTCCAGTGTTTTGGAAAGTTAGTTTAAAAAAACTAACATGATAACTTTAATTCTAACACAGTTCTCAAGTGATTCCCATGGACATTCAAGTTCAAGGAGCAGTAGGGGACATGCCACTCAGATAGACAGAAATGGATGATCTACAGCAATTCTTGTAGAAAAATAATAACAAAAATACTATAATTATCTATAGTTTGGTAGGAAGATCTTGCACTCCACAACATGTAGGAATATTTTCTTTCAGTCAAATAAGAATATAAAACTGGGAATAGTACTCTTAATTGAATAAGTCTATGCCAGCATGGTTAATTAAAAAAAATGTCTGTGTACCACACTGGCATCACGAAGAAAACAACAAACAATGCTTTTGCCCCTAAATCTTTTATTTTTATAGCAATAAGGAAGGGAAGTTGGGCTCTGCACCCTAAAAGTGAAGTTCTGTGTCTCAATTTTGTTTTCTGCCCTACCTTGTGCTTCTGTTTCCTAATTTAAATGGAATACTAATGTTTCATTTACCATTCATGACTATGGAAAGTATCAATGTAATAATATTTGTGAACATGCTTTGGAAACTAAATGTTGTGAATTAGTTTTTATTGATTTTTTTACAGAGAAAGAAAGGGAGACAGATAGAGAGAAACATCAATGTGAGAGGGAAACATTGATCAGTTGCCTCCTGCACACCCTGGGGGATCAAACCCAAA